CTCCAAACATATGGGAATCACACAGTATATCTATTTCCTAGAATTTCCATAACAAAGTACAACAAGCAGGGTGGCTTAAAACAACAGAAACATATCACCTCATAGTTTTGGAAACAATAAGTCCAAAATTAAGATGTAAGGATGCTCTCTCCCAAGGCTCTAAGGAGGAACCCTTTCTTGCCTCTTCCAGTTTCTGGGGGTTGTCCATGATCCTTGGCCTTCCTTGGCTTATCCATGCATCACTCCAGTCTCTACCTCCATTGTCATATGATGTTCTATCTCTGTGTCTGTATCTTCTCTTCTTACAAGAATTCCAGTCATATTGGGTTAAGGGCCCAGACCTACCCCAGTATGACCTCATCTTAACTAACTATATCTGCCACAATGCTATTTTCAAATAAGGTCACATGCTAAGGGGTTACGACTTCAACCTGTCTTTTCAGGGGACACAATTTCACCCATAGCAGTTGCACATCCAAGATCTGAGCCCCATGGATCTGTGTTGATCTGCAGGGCAACCCTGGCCACATTTTTATCATCAGCTCTTATGATTTGTATTAGCCATGAAATCTCTGGGAACAACTAAGAGTATACATTTGAGATCCAAGATTTTTTTTAAGCTCTAACCACAAAGCCCTTCTTCTGAGCTTTAAACCCTCATTTTACCCTTCCCTAGTAGACCGTTGCCAAGGAAGCTTTTCGAGTCTGATTGTGATGTTTTTCCAGTCCTCCTTTCTAATACGTGGTTATAGATCCTACATATTAGCCTAGACACTCTCCATCCTGACATACAATCATTCTGGCAAAGCAAAACTGTCCTCCACATAGTATCTAGAATGTAGACCCTATGACTTCTCATTTAGACATCAGCATATCCTAACCATGAAGGTTTTCCATTTCTCTATTCTTTCTGTGGAATGCTCAGTCCTTCAATCCCAGTAAATACTTATTTAATGAGGGCAGCCCAGGTGGCTGAGGGGTTTAGCACTGCCTTCAGCCACGGGGCATGATCCTGGAGACCCGGGATCGAGTCCCACATCAGGCTCCCTGCATGGAGCCTGCTTCTCCTTCTGTCTGTGTCTCTGCCTCTCTCTCTCTCTCTCTCTCTCTCTCTCTCTCTCTCTCTCACACACACACACACACACACACATATAAATAAATAAATAAAATCTAAAAAAAAGCGTATTTAATGAGTGCCTACTATGTAGCAGGCACTGTTCTAAGCAATGGAAGTATAGTAGTGAACAAAACAAACTAAACACTCTCCCCTCATCAAGATGATAACCTTGCAGGAGAAATAAACACACAAAAAGGAACTATATAATATGTCTCATGGTACAAATGCTATAAAGAAAAGAAAGTGGGGTGGAGGAATGTAGACTTCTGGGAGTTATAATTTTAAATAGAGTGGTCAAGGGAGTTCTCACTGAGAAGATAATGTCTGAGCAAAGATCTGAAGGAGGTGAAGGAGCAAGCCAAGTAGCTACCTAAGGAAAGAACTTTCCAGGCCAAGAAAACACCATATGCCAAGAGTCCGAGGTGCCTGACATGTTTAAGAGACAGCAAGAAGACCAACTACAGTGAAGTATGTGGGGAAATAGTAGCAGCAAATGAGAGCAGAAAGGTAACAGGGATAAATCTGGGAGCAGATTCTGCAGGAACTTATGGGCCACTATAAAGATTTGGGCATGTTTTAAACATGACTGAAAGCCTATTCTAAGAATTATATTTCCTGTAAATTGCTCAATTTTCAAGTAGAAACTGACTTGTGACAGTTATTCTAATGCGTACCTCACCACAAATAGCATGGTATAAACCAAGACCCAGCAGATGTGATCTCAGACAGCCTTAAACTAACACAGATGGGTCTGACATTGACCCTCTCATGATCCAAACAGAATGATTTCTTAAAGCACTAAGTGACACAGAGGTTGGGGGGGGGGGAATCAAATTTCCATTTGCAATTTCTTGTGGGATATATCAGGATAGGCTATGTTGCCATAAAAGAGTCAACAATAATTCAATGGCTTGCAGGATATAGAAGTGGTTCTCTTCCTCGTGCAATAGACCTAAGGTGAGAATTTCAGGTCAATGGGCAGTTTTGTCCATAGGGTCATTCAGGGACCCAGATTGACAGCAGCTTCGCCATATTTAATACATGACTTCCAGAGTTGCTCTAGTTGTCACCATTCCCACCAAGAGGAAGGGAGAAAGCATTCAAGTCCAGACCATGGATTCTCTCTTAATAAAATGAGGTGGAAGGAAAAGCATTTCTTCCACTTACAATCCATTGTCAAGAACTATGTGGCCCCACTTATTACTGGGTCACCTGGGAAATGTACTGCTTATTTTGGAAGGGGGGAGGATGTGAGTGAATTTAGGTGGACAGTAGGTCTTTAGATTTTCCTAAAGGAGCTTCCCACAGCATACCACAAAGTACTGGAAGTCTCTTTAAACACCCTCTGGCATACTCCTCCTCACACCCCCTCACTTCCTCCTTCACTCTTTACCCTCCTGCATCACCATACACATACCATGCAGGCTCCCTTCTCAGCCAGAAGAGCCCACTGGGTTCACTGGCCTTTCTGGGCCACCAGGAGACAGCTGGAAAACCTGGAGTCTTCATCCACCCCATCCCCCTCACTTCCAGCAGAGGAAAAGTGGAAAGAGCTCTCTGGGATGCATGGTTCTTCCCCCACACTGTTTCATTTCCAAAACATTCTTGCGAGGCATTTTCAGTGAATAAAATTCTCCAGTTCATTACACAAGTAGTTCAAGACAGCTGGACAAAGAAAGGGTGTATGTTGGGGATTAGCAGAGATTAGGCCAGACAGGTAGGCAGGGGCCAGAGCATGAGGGCTTTATAAATCTGTGTCAACAGAGCTTTCTCTTTACCCAAAGGGCAGGAGGAAGCCAGAGAGTGCTTTAGGCAAGACAGGAACCTGACCTGAGTGGTGTTTTAGAAAGTCATGCAGGTTAGTAGAAGAAGCATGAATAGAAGGTACTGAAATCAAAGGCTGGGAGCCCTGTCTGAAGATCTCCACAGTCATCATTAGTGGGCCTCAGTCTCCTTATCTGTAGAATGGGGACGATGATGATAGTTATGCCCCAGCATTGTGGGTTGTTGTGGGGTCTGAAGAGGTTAAAGCTTGGGAAGTGGTTCCTTACAGCAGTGCCTGGTGCCCTGTAGCCCTCCATGAAATCAGCCATTATTATTAACCTTGCACTAAGATAGTAGCAGTGGAAAGAGAAGAATCCAGATTCCAGAAATATTCAAAAGTTAGAAACTGGAAGATGGATTGATAGTGCACTGGAGAGGGATGATGCAAGGTGGGGTTCCCAGCCACTGAGATCGAGACCCCGTGAGGGGTGGGGCACAAGTCTCGTTGACTCTGAGGTGACCCTGAGACATCATCTAGTAGAATTTTCCAGAATGCAACTGACTCAACTGGTCTCAGGGCCAGAAGAGAGGTGGGGCTGAAAATATGGGTTGGAGTCTTCCTCACAAAGTAGAAATTGAAGCCATAGGAGCAGGTGATGTTTCCTCAGGAGAATGGATAAAAGAGAGGGAGACCCATAAAGAGCCCTAGGGAGAAAGGAGCCCATGGAGGAAGAGGAGGAGTGGTAAATAGGGAGAGGAAGATCTGGAAGAGGGAGAGTGAGCATCAGCAATGCCAAGGGCTGCCAGAAGGTCAGGTTACAGAAGGTTCCAGGGGCTCAGTGAAAAAGACCTCATAGGGGGCTCTGGAGAGCACAGTGTCGACAGCGTGGTGCCAGGGGGGGTGGGAGCAGTGCAGAATTGAGAAATGATCAGGAGATGAGGCCGGGGTGACAGCAAGTAGAGCTTCTCATTCAAGAGATTCAGCTTTGAAGGGGAGGGAGAAATGAAGTGAATGTGGATGGAAGGGTATTCCCAAGGAGGAGAGATTTGAGAGACAGAGACAGGGGATGTGGGATGGAGCAGCAGTGTTCCCCGTGGAGGAGAGAGAGACAATGTTCACAGCAGCAATGTGCACAACAGCCAAACTGTGGAAGGAACCTCGATGTCCTTTGACAGATGAATGGATAAAGAAGACGTGGTCTATGTATACAATGGAATATTCCTCAGTCATCAGGAAAGACGAATACCCACCACTTGCTTCAACATGGATGGAACTGGAGGGTATTACGCTGCGTGAAATAAGTCAATCGGTGAAGGACAATCATCATATGGTTTCACTCATACCAGGAATATAAGAAATAGTGAAAGGGATTGTAAGGGAAAGGAGGGGAGCTGGGTGGGAAAAATTAGAGAGGGAGACAAATCATGAGAGACTTCTAACTCTGGGAAACAAACAAAGGGTTGTGGAAGGGATGGTGGCGGGGCAATGGGGTAACTAGGTGATGGGCACTGAGGAGGGCACTTGATGGGATGAGCACTGGGTGTTATACTATATGTTGGCAAATTGAATTTAAATTTTATTTTTTAGGGATGCCTGGGTGGCTCAGGAGGTTGAGTGTCTGCCTTCGACTCAGGATGTGATTCCAGGGTCCTAGGATTGAGTCCCACATCAGGCTCCCTGTGAGGAGCCTGCTTCTCCCTCTGCCTGTGTCTCTGCCTCTCTCTCTGTCTCTAACGAATAGATAAATAACATATTTTAAATAAATAAATAAATTTTATTTTTTTAATTTTAAAAATGTAAAAAAAAAAAAAGGAAAGAGAGATCTAGGCAGCCCCTGAATGTGACAGCTAAGCAGATCATGCAAGCTCCTGACAGACCACACATGCTGGAGAGGAACTGTCATTACACACTCAGGGTCATGGACCCAAAGAGCCACAGGCAGACCCGAGGAGCCTGGGGTCTGGCTGTAAGCAGAACTGGCCTTGGGAGGAGGAGGCCAGGCTCTGGGAAGTCAGGAGAGGGTGCTGGGGGCAGGCGGCCCCTGGGGGGCACCGGCTGAGCATGGCTGGGAGGGTGGTCCAGATGGAGCCAGGCTGCCACTGCCTTTCTCCTGTGCAGTGGGACTTGGTGTGCAGCTCCAACAAACTGAAGGAGGTGGCCCAGTCTCTCTTCATGGCAGGCACACTGATCGGGGGGATCGTGCTGGGAGACCTGTCGGACAGGTGAGACCCTGGGACCTCTGGAGCAGGGGCACAACCTATGAGGACATCCCACCTCACTCTGACCCCCCCATGCATGCCCAAAGAAGCAGAGAGCCAGGGGAGGCAGGAGGCACAGTCCCTACCATGCGGCCTTGGGCAAGTCCCATTCCCTTTCAGGGCACAGCCCTCTCTCTGCCCCAAAGCTCTTACAGCTGGAATCTTCCTACCTCCTCAGACCCTGGGGAAAAGCCTCAAGATTTTCAGACGCAGTGTAGCACCTATGTGGCAGTGGTGGTGGGGTGCACGGCCTGTTTGGGGAGAGGAAGTCTCTTGACCTCTGCTCAGGCCACTAAGCAGGGGGCAGGTGATCACTCATTAACTTGAACCTGTAACTGCAAACCTGTCAAAAAACATAGCAATTACCAGTGAGGCTCTGTCTAAAGAAGGAGTTTACATGCCCTGCCTACCCCCTTTGGGAGGTAGGGAGTCCAACTCTTTGCCCTGAGACCTGCAGAGTCACTGTCTCAACTAGCTCACCGTGGCTAACCCCATCTCTCCTCTCCTGTGAGTTCCAGGTTTGGCCGCAAGCCCATCCTGACCTGTAGCTACCTGCTGTTGGCAGCCAGCGGTTCAAGTGCAGCCTTCAGCCCCAGCCTCTCCGTCTACATGGTCTTCCGCTTCCTGTGTGGCTGGAGCATCTCAGGGATTGTCCTGAGCACTGCGATCTTGAGTGAGCCACAGGGGGAGGGGGCGTGGGAAGATGAGTTGGAAGGGGGGCATCCAGCCCAAAACCAAGGGCCTGGCCCAACACAGGTTCCCTGAGACTTTGGTCACGTAAGATGCTGCCCCTCTCAGGATCTCAGAGGCCCTCTCTGAGCGTAAGAACAACAGGAAGCATAATAGCAGCAGCTATCAATACGGAGGACCCTACCCCGGGCCTCACGGTCTACTGGGTACAGGATCCCATTCAGTCCACACACACAAGGAGGTGACACTGTTGTCCTCATTTTATAGACACGGACATTGAAGCCTAACAAGGGAAGTCGTTTGCCTCTGGAGAGGCAGTCAAGAGCGTGGGCTTGAGTAGGGGTGGGGGGCACCTGGCTGGCTCAGTCGGTAGATCATGTGACTCAATCTCAGGGTTATGAGTTCGAGCCCCATGTTGGGTATAGAGATTACTTAAAAATAACTTTTTTTAAGTCTTTAAAAAAAAAAAGAATGTGGGCTTAGAAGTCAGAGAGACCCCCCCCCAAAAAAAAAAAAAAAAAGAAGAAGTCAGAGAGACCTAAGTTTGAGTCCTACCTTCTTGAGTTTTATTCATAGCATTGGTATGAGGGCAATGAGACCTTATGATCAGGGTCAGATCAAGTAGCTGTTGTGGGGTGGGCAGGAGTGGGTGTTCCTTCATGGGAAGGTTGCCCAGGGCCCAGCACGATCTTAATCTGGTCCTTGGGCTCCTCCTGCAGATGTCGAATGCGTGTCCATCCAGACGCGGGCCATCATGTCAACTTTAATGGGTTACTTCTATACCGCTGGCCAGTTCCTTCTGCCTGGCCTGGCCTATGCCATCCCCCAGTGGCGCTGGCTACAGTTAACCGTGTCCATTCCCTTCTTCGCCTTCTTCCTGTTGTCCTGGTATGTGGCCCTCTCCTCTTCATCTCCCTCCTTATGCCCACTGGGGCCAAACAGGGGGAGCCCATGTCTGACCAGGCTGGCTGACTCTATCCCAGGACACCTCTGTTACAGAGTCGGGAAGGGCATTCCAGAAAGGAGGAATTAATACACAAAGGTATGCTGCAGGAGCAAGTGTCTGGGGGGCGGTCAGTGGAGGAAGGGGCTGAGTTGAAATACAGGGTACGGGGCCAGACTGTGGAGAAACACAGAAAGCCAAGGAGCCTCAACTTCATGTGGAGGGACAGAGAATGCCTCTGAATGTGTCTGTGTTGCAGGAAGGCCTGATCAAGCTTGTTTGTGACACAAGGACAGACCCATGTGGGTGGGGATGAAAGAGAGAAGGGACATGTCTCTGAAGGTAGGAGGAACCTCAGGAACGAGTCTGAGAGGCATTTTGAAAGACAAATCCACAGAGTTTGGTGACTTCTAAATTTGAAATATAAAGGAATGGAAAACCCAAGCCTGGGAATCTAGGAAAATCAAGGTGTCTTGGTGTGTCAGAGACCCCAAATAGGTCAAGAGCTCACTATCATCACCTCAGACCTAAAGCATGTTGAAAACAGGACCTGAATCCCCAAAATATAATTTGTTTTTTGTTTGTTTGTTTGTTTCTTTGTTTGTTTGTTTGTTTGTTTGTTTAACAGGCTCCATGCTGGGCATGGAGCCCAATGTGGAGCTTGAATCCATGACCCTGAGATCAAGATCTGAGCTGAGACCAGGAGTCGGACATTTAACCGACTCAGAGTGACCCTTTACTGAGCACTTACTATGTGCAAGGCCCTTTCCTAGGCATCAACCTAGGTCATCCCAATCCTCATGGCATCTCTGTATGAAGGAAGCATTATTGTCTCACTTTACAGATGAGGGAACGGAAGGAAGCTCAGATCAGTGAAGCTACCCACCCCCACCCCCTGCCCCGTGCCAGGTTTGCACATAAAGACACAGAACTGGGATGGGCCTTTATTTGAAAATGAGAATAGAATCATCTAGAGGGGGATGGACAATCTTGTGGAAAGAGAGGTGGTCGGAGGGTCCAGGGTAGAGCCAGGGAATGTTCACAGCCAGGGATGGGAGCAGACAAAGAACAGAGAGTATCGAGGGCAAAGTAAAGGCAGGGTACGGTCCACAATTTAGGCCCCTTCCCCCTGTGACTTGGGTCAAGCCTCACCTACTCTGAGCCTCAAGATCCTCCTAGGCAAAATGAAGACAATAATGCCCATCACCCAGGTTATGTTTGCCTGGTCTGCAGGAAGGCTCCTTCATCAGAATCTGTTACTATTTGCAGGGAGAGGAGGTCAGATTCCAGGCCCTGGCTGTGGTGTGTGGGAGGAACTCACTGTCGACCTTGCCTAGGCAGAAATGAGACCACAAGGCCAGCAGGACAGCTTTGAACCTAGGAGGCCACCACTGTCACTGTTGGCTGGGCTTGTGGTTTGAGGCTAGATGATCAATGCCTACTCCCCCAGGCCCTCCCTGGAGTCAAGTCCTGGATGCCGGTGGAGGCCACAGACATAACTCACCCCACTCAGACCAGACTTTTTTAAAACATCAATCCTTTGTACCACCCCCCCTCCCTGCACATCCAACTTCTCTACTCCTCTTAGCCTAATGACACTCGGGGTCTGCTCAGGGTGAACCAACCCCAAAAGTATAGCCTAAAGGTGGGGAAAGTGACATTGGCTGCCCACTCACCAATCCCAGGACCTTATGCTGTGCTTGTACTCTAGCAGAATTGGTCTTCTGCCTCAAACCCATTCCCTAAGCCACAATCCCTACTCCAAGCCACCTTCTCAAGCTGCCGCAGGACTGCAGCCCTGCCCCTTCTTCACCCTGGGATGCAGCCCAAGGAAGGCTGGGGAGGTGAATGTACGGGATCCTCCAGCTGTCTAGCCTCGAACATGCCGTCCCTTCCCCAGGATGCACCTGCCTTGGCCGAGGCCCAAATCTCCTAGCTAAGGAAGACACCCAAGGATAACAAGTGGCCCAGGTAGGGGGCAGAGGAAGAGCTCTTCTGGAAGGGGAAAGAAGAGAATGCTAGAATTTGTTCTGGCTGCAGGCAGTCCAGGTGCAAAGCTTGGCCACATTTAAATTCCATGAAATCCGCAGTAAAACAGCTCGGGTTTCTGGACCTCCTACCCCTCAGTCCTTCCGGCCCCTCAAACAAGGTTCTGGCAGGGGGCAAGTCACTGTGACTTGATTCTGGCACCCAGGTGGATACCAGAGTCCATACGCTGGATGGTCGTGTCTGGAAAATTCTCAAAGGCCCTGAAAATACTCCGGCGGGTGGCTACCCTCAATGGCAAGAAGGAAGAAGGAGAGAAACTGAGCATGGAGGTAGGAGCAGAGAGGGATTATAGTCTGGAGCAGGAGCCCTCCTCTTGCCTCTGCTTCCCTGCTCATAAGCCAACATCATATCCAATGCCCCAAGCAAAGTCCTCCAGAGACACCAGGACTGCACCTCCCTCTCTCCTCCCTCCTGCCCACCAGCTGATCACTAATGACACTCCTCTCCTCTGCCGAAAGGAGCTCAAATTCAGCATGCAGAAGGAGATCTCCTTGGCCAAGGCCAAGTATAGCATCGCTGACCTGTTCCGGACACCCACCCTGCGCCGTGTGACCTTCTGTCTTTCCCTGGCCTGGTAACCACCCACCCCTCCCTGCCCGCACCCTAGCACCTCTGCCAAACAGGGGTGATGAAGAAGGCTTCTGGCAGGTTCACCTAAGGGGAAGGCCTAGGGCATCTGCAAAGAGGAGTCAAGAGATCTCCTCCCTGGGCTGCCCCAGCCCAACCCCAATCCTGGAAATAAATCTTCTGTGTCTTTGCCACACACTAGGCTCCTGCCATCAGGGTCTGCTTCCATGTTGGGTCTTGCCCACAAGGCAAATGTTCCAGACCCCATCACAGCTCACATCCCTATGGCAATTTCCCCATTCCATGCCTCTCTGTCATTGCCTCCACTGGTCCAGTTCTGCCCTAGGGGATCCCACAGAGCAAGGCTGGCCCTCAGAACTGGAAGACAGAAACCGTGCTTCTCCTGAGTCTTCTCTTCTGCCTGACGTTCTACAGCTCCTACATAGCCCTTTCTGTAACCAGGTTCTGAGACGCTCCTTTATCCCTACATGAATAGGGTCCAATTTGTCCAGGGACTTCAAAAGGCATCTCTCAATTTTGAGAGGGAAAGGGAGGCAACTAACCCATATGCACAGCTTGACTCTCTCCCCTCTCCCACTCTAGATGTTAAACTATTACCCAACCAAGAGAGATCATTTACTACCTCCTTTGGCCTCCCAGAGTCCCACCAGTCCTGATATTCTCAGGAGTCAATTATGTGGCATCTTTGCCACCACAGCCTAGACCATACCCACATCAGACATAACCAATGAATCCCAGCACTGAGCCCAGACACAATCTCAAAGAGCTCAGAACAACTCTCCAGCAGCCCCTACGAATTAGCTGCAGTTGGGATAAGAAATGAAACTGTTCATCATCCTGGTGACCAGTGACCAGTATGGGGAGAGACCAGTTCAGCTGCAGATGCCAATCAATCCCTCTCTTCCCCTCAGGTTTTCCACTGGTTTTGCCTACTACAGTTTGGCTATGGGTGTGGAAGAATTTGGAGTGAACCTCTACTTCCTCCAGCTCATCTTTGGGGGGGTCGACATTCCAGCCAAGTTCATCGCCGTCCTCTCTATAAACCATCTGGGCCGACACATCACCCAATCCTGTTCTCTCCTCCTGGCAGGAGGGTCGATCTTGGCTCTCATCTTTGTGCCCTCGGGTGAGAAGCCAGGGCTAGGCCAGAACCCTCTGAAAGAGGCCCGATGCTTCCGTGGACATCACAGGTTACCACAGGCTGGGACCCCAATTCTGCTGCCTGTGCCCCTAATTATCTGTGTTACCTTGAGCAGGTCCCTGGGCTCTCTGGGGCTCATATCGCCCATCTAGAAAATAACTCAGTTGGCTAAATGATATCAAAGCTCCTTTCCAGATCTGACTCAGACTGGGCAAAGTATGGTGGTGTCTGGCTAGTGGGATTGGATTGCTCAGGGATTGGGCATGGCCTGGTGACATGGCTACAGAAAAGCTGGTGTGAGAAAAACACAGAGCTAAGTGCTCAGGGAAGACCCCACAACCTACTCTACCATGACCTTGGAAAAACCACTTTTATATAGATGCTTGTGTGTTGATATACCCATATCCTTCCAAAGGAACTTGAGCTATTTTAGGACAAGCATATATACAACAAAATATGAGAGTAGGGAACCAGAGCCAGGGAAAAACACAAATGCAGCAGGACAGCCTGCAAATCACTAGAAATAGCAGAGGGACTATTACTCAGCTTTAAATTTAGATCTGAGCTTTCCAGCAGCCAAAGCAAAAAGGGAGACAGAGTCCACTAAGGAGTGAGAACACTCAGGTGCTCCTGAGCCCAAGGTCCATCGCATTTTCTTCCCTCTGCAGATTTGCCAACCCTGAGGACAGTCCTGGCTGTGTTTGGGAAGGGCTGCCTGTCCAGCTCCTTCAGCTGCCTCTTCCTCTACACGAGCGAGCTATACCCCACCGTCATCCGGTAGGTGCTGGACTCGGGGCCGGCCCAGCCAAAGGATGCAGGGTCAGGTGGGATTGTGGCATCCTCCTGCTCCTGCCCAGGGGTCCCAGAGCTGCCCTTTAAGAATCATACACAGGCTGCCAACCCCTGCTCTGGACTCTCCCAAGGCAAACAGGTATGGGCATAAGCAACTTGTGGACTCGTGTAGGAAGCATGGTGGCCCCACTGGTGAAAATCACAGCAGACTTTCAGCCCTTCATCCCTAATGTTTTATTTGGGACCATCACCCTCCTTGGAGGCAGTGCTGCCCTGTTCCTGCCTGAGACCCTCAATCGGCCCTTGCCAGAGACTATCGAAGACATAGAGACCTGGTCAGTCCCTTGCCTCTGGTCCCTCTGGAACTCCTCACTGGGGAAGCAGGTCCAGACCCAGGACTTTTCCTGAGATCTCTTTCCCTAGGTCCTGGCAGACGAAGAAACCAAAGCAGGAACCAGAAGCAAATAAAGCATCCCAGAGGATCCCTCTGCATCCTTGTGGACCAGGCCCGGACCCCAGCTGAGGGCAACAGAGCCCCCTTTCTCTGCCCTCCAGAAACAAATCCTAGCCAGGTCCTCGCCTGCCTCTGGGCTCTGAGGGCACCTTGGGGGCCGCTGAGCAGGTCCATGCTCCAGTTCAAAGGTTCCATCATAGGCCTTTCTATACCTTACCCTTGTCCTCTTCATCCCTCAGCCCAGGCCTTGCCATAGCCCTTCCCCACTGGCCACCTTTGTCCCACCCTCCTTCCCCAGGGGTTCCCCCTGGACTCCCTAACTCAGTCCTAACAAAGACAGCTTCTCCTTCTTGCTCCCCACCCTTTTCTTCAATGGGAGGGTTCAATAAATGACAATGAACTCAAGCCATAATGCTCAGGAATGGGGGTGGCACAGAGATGGGGACAGGCCACCATGCAGACGTGTGCACTACAAATCCATCCACCAGTGCTGTGTGTAACACGCAGGTGTGGGCACACAGGTACATACAAGCTGGGCTGATGTGAACCTGTGTGCACATGTGTGAGTGCCCTAGGTGCATATACACCAAGCCTGCTCAGGCTGCAACCACAACATACCACAAGTGGATCACTTAAACAACAAACATTTCTTCCTCCCAGTTCTGGACGTGGGAAATTCAAGATCAAGATGCTAGCAGACTCAGTTCCTAGTAGGAGCCCTCTTCCTGCCTTGCAGATGGCCACCTTCTCATTGTGTCCTCACTTGGTGGGAAGAGCAAGAGAGAAGCAAGGTTTCTGCTGTCTCTTCTTCTGAGAAAACTAATTCCACATGACACGCCACCCTCATGACCTCATCTATGCCCAGTTACCTTCCAAAGGCCCCACCACCTCCAATGACCATCACACTGGAAGTTAGAGCACCAACATATAAATTTAGGGGAGGATGCAATATAGTCCATAGCAAGTCTTATGGTTGGAAATACCCTGTGGGCACATACATGTCCCAGTGTGTGTGAGCAGAGGTCAGAACAAGCCCAGAGCAACTGCAGACAGAACCCTGGGCCTCTCTGGTCCCAATCCACCGGCTCCCCCAGGTCTCTGATCTACATCCCAGGCCCATGCCACTGGATAGCTCTGTGTCCCATTTAAGCGAGAAAACTTCAGTCAAAGCCAAAGGCTGCCAATGTCACCCCATGTTCCCCAAGTTCCTTCCAATCCCGGCAGAGAGTCAGTCTCTCACTGGGACTCTGCATCCAGCCCCTTGGGAAGGCAGCCTCTGCTTTCCCCCACAGGGCTCCACCCATTCACTCTCTCCTGGCTCTTTCTCATCACCAGTCAAATAAGCTCCAGCCTCTCCTATCTTAATAAAAACCAACCAAACCCACCAGCCTTCCTTGGGGCCATATCTCCCACTAGGGGCTATACTGTCTCTTTCTCCCCTTCTCAGCTAAACTTTGTACAAGAGCTGTGTCTCTCCCTGGCTTGCACCTTGGAACCTTGTACCTCTTCAGACTGCACTCCCACCGCTTCCCTGAGGGCTGTCACAGATGGTACTCAGCACCCCCAGTGCTGAACCCACTGGTCATTTTCATCCTGCTTGTCACTTGGCGTTGCAACAGACTCAGATCCTTTTGGCTGTGCCCTCTTTCCCTGGTTTCTGAGATGCTCTGTGCATGCAGGTCCCTCCCATACTGTGGCTTCTCCTTCAGAGTCTCCTTGAGGGCTTCCTGTAAATGCTACCAAATACTGCTTGGCCTGTTCTGCCCCCACCCTTCCTCAAGGGTCAACATCCCCAGAACCTGCTAACTGAACAATTCTATGACCTCTGGTCATGGCTGACTGGACCCGATGGCCCTCCTGATCCCATCATTCATAATGTGTTCCTTCTTGGGCTGGGGATCTGAGTTATGGAGGTTCTGGTCCATCCCTTGGTCCTTGTCCTGGGAAGGCAAGTTAGCATGATGGTGGGCCAGCCAGATGTAAGTAGATCAGAGAAAGCCGTTTGAAGAGAAAGAAAAAAGCAAATGCACAGAGAAAAGGATCCAAGAGACACAGGGGCCCAGATGAAAAGACTCAGTGAGGGGTGCCTGGGTGGCTCAGTAGGTTAAGCGTCTGCCTTTGGCTCAGGTCATGATTCCAGGGTCCTGGAATCAAGCCCCACATCAGACTCCCTGCTCAATAGTGGTGGGAGGGTCTGCTTCTCTCTCTTCCTCTGCCCCTCCTCCTACTTGTGTGCTCTTTCTCTGTCAGATAAATACATAAAATCTTAAAAAAAAAAAAAGACTCAGTGAGACTATCACAATTCTTTTTTTCTAAGATTTTATTTTTTTTATTTGACAGAGAGAGAGAGAGCAAGAGCAGAGAGGAAAGGAAGAGGGAGAAGCAAACGCCCCACTGAGTAGGGAGCCCTACGTGGAGCTCAATCCCAGGACCCCAAGATCATGACCTGAACCAAAGGCAGATGCTAACCGACTAAGCCACCCAGGCACCCCTCTATTCACATTGACTCTTAATGGATTCCAGGTCCCAGGTCCTCCTTGGACCTGGATATACGTTCTGACCCTGAATTCGAGAAAAAATCCTGAATTATCTAAACAACTTTTATTTTGTTTCAATTAAACTCAAGGGTTTCCAAACCAAACAATTCCAAAAGCAGCTCCTCTCCCTCTATCATTTCAACACTGATGTTCCCCAGACTTCTTTCCTAAGACCCCTTCCTCGAACATTCTTTACCAGCCCTGTCCAGGAGAAATGTAATGCAAGCCACTTATGTCATTTAAAACTCCTAGCAGCTATTTCTTAAAAAGAGGTCAAATTAATTTTAAGTATGTATATATGACAATAATAATATATTTTATTTAACCCAAAATACCCATATTACCATTTCAACATGTAATCAATACAAAAGTTATCGATAAAGATATTTTACAGCCTTTAATTCATATTAAGTCTTCAGAATCTGGTGTGTATTTGACCCTAATAGCATATGTCAGTTCAGACTGGCTCAGTTCACATGCTCAGCAACAGCCAGCGGCTACCATATCAGACAACTCAGAAACACTCCAGGGCTGCGACTGTCAGCCACAGAGTTCGCTATTCTCAAATCTGTATTTAGATTTGAAAGACAGCTTAATAAAAATGAAAGAGATCATAATCCACCCCTGCTTCAACTTTTCAGTGAATTCCCAGTGGGATGAAATCTACACTCTGTTACAAGGCCAGTCCCGCTCAGGCCCCAACCTGCCTTGATGGCTTCAGTTTTAACACCCTCTGCTTTGCAACCTGAAATCTAGCCTCATTCTACTTTTGTCCGTTCCCAGACTGCACGAACCTAGCCTAACCCCTGCCCTTCATCCATACTCAGCACTTGACATCTCCCCATACTCCCCCACTGCACTTGGCATGGGGTCAGCTAGCCAAGGGGCCACCAGGGCCTCCCCTTGGCTTGACTGGGTCTCTACCTGAGGGGAGAAGAATTGGGCTCAGTGAGGAACACAGGCCTGCTGCCCCATGCCCCATCTTTCAGCTGTCCAGAATTCAGGGTGGCTCCCAGGATGTCTTGGCCATAATCATTCCTGGGCTGTTCCAGAGTTTTTATTGTGAAGACACACAGAAAGGGAAGATGCCCAGGAAAGCACTTCCCAGTTACATGGTCAGGCCTCCTGATGAACTAGGATGCCGGTCAGGATGTACATGGCCCATTCCTCTTGCCATTCCCAAATCCCCAGTCTGGATTCCACCTGTTGTCTACCTCTACTTTCCTCTACAGCTACAGCTCCTCCTGCAGGAGGCTACTCCTCCGTGTTCTCAGTCCCTGAGGTCAGCCTTCAATGGGCTCAGTGAATCGTCATCCAATATGGAGCACCTCTCTTGGGCAGAATCCTCATGCTGAGCCACCTCATTGGTTACTCCCCTCATGTCCAGCCTTTAAATGGCACTTTGGGATGCATTTCTAATTTCTGCACCATTCATTATTAGCCAGGGTAGTCATGCCATGAGACATAAAACTCACAATTTAGGGGCACATGGGTGGCTCAGTAGGTGATCCAGGGGCCCTGGGACCAAGCCCCACATCGGGGTCTCTGCTCAGGGGGGAGCCTGCTCCTCCTCTCACTCTGCTCACCACTCATGCTTGCTCTCTCTTTCTCTCTTTTAAAATCTTGTTTTTAAAAAAAAAACAACTCACAATTTGGCTCCTTGCTCAGCATGTTGCTATGTGCCTGGCAGGCACTTGGAGTTTGCCAGACATCTCTCCAGGCCAATCATTTCAAACTCACACTTAGGACTTGTGATCTGAACAAGAATATTTTCTCTGACCTGTGAGTTATTTACTTGAAGTCTCATGAAACAAAATCAAAATCACATGTAGTCATGCACTTTAAATCCCATTTATTTAACTGAATAAAATGAAGGTTTTTTAATTTTTATTTTAGTGTTTGAGAGGGAGAATATGTGTGAACATGAGCAGGAGGAAGGGCAGAGGGACATGCAGACTCGCCGCTGAGTGGGGAGTCCCATGCGGGGCTCAGTCCCAGGACCTTGGGATCATAACCAGAGCTGAAGGCAGATATCTAACCAACTGAGCCACCCAGATGTCCCCAGAATAAAATTACACAAAATCTGGATGTCTCAGAAAATCTGAGATGTGTGATGGCTGCTGGCATGGTAAAGAAAAAAAAAAGGCAATGGAATCAAGGGGGCCCAGTTCTAGAGTTGCTTGCTGTATGATCAAGGACAAACCCCTTGCCTACTCTGTGCCTTGGCCTCCTTATCTGTACAATGAGAAGTTTTCATCTGAGTAATAGCATTCAGCTCTGATGGTATGTGGTTCTGTGGCTCTTGGCCAATCAGAAGTCCCGGATTTGACCCCTTCTTGGTGAGCATGGCCAGAACTGAAGTCCACATTCCAGTCAGTCCAGGGAGTCCAACTCTGAGTATTTAATGACTCAGAATGTCCCTAAAGGATAGTTCTTATTCTGCAAATCATTCGCTATGGGAGCAATTCCACCCAGAAATTCTCCATAAGCTGGGAGGCTGGTGGGAAGTCTCCTTGCTGGCTACATGATCCCAGGAGCCAACAACAATTGAGTCCCTGGAGTCTCCAGTTGAGCCTTTTCTAGGCTCAGACTGGCTTAGAGCTGGTCAGGCACTAGGGAGGGGGCTCTTCGCAAAGGCAGGGTCGGGTTCAGAAAGGGAGGGTGTTTATAGGGGCCACCATCTCCCCCACTGCCCTCAATACTCGTCCTACTCCCCCATGAGGGCACCAAGTCCTGGCAGGAGATTGGCCCTAGAGCCCCCAAGCTGTTTGTCCAGCTGTCCTCACATCCCCAGGCCACAAGGCTCTTATATACCTTGGCCTGGAGAATGTTGTCAGGCATCTGGACACCCACTGGGTCCCAGCCCAGAACCAACACTGGGTGGAGGGAGGGAGGCTGGGGTGAATTATATCCCTCTCTGGGCCTCCCTATTCTCTTCTGCACATAATGAGACTGGATGAGCCCTAAGACCTCCTTAGCTGGGGGTTCCACACCTTTAAAGCAACAGGAAACAACCGGGCTTTGAAGTTAGACAGAATAGCCTAAGACTTCACATACCCCAGCGCCTCAACAAACAGTAAATATCCTCCCAACTTAATACGCAAAAGTGTAGTTTGTGTAAACTGCACAATGATAGCAGGGCATCTTGAGTCCTTATAGAAGAATCAGAAATCAAACTGCTTCCCCTCAACAATAAGACTTCAAGATTTATGCCTAGAAGAGAGGAGACAAGCCTTCTCTCTTCTTGGCCTCTTGCATCAGCTAATTCATACCGGACCTGGCTGCCTCCCATAAAACTCCAGAACCCCAACCATCCATGCTGTTCAGACATCTGCCAAAGTATGTGGTGAAGTGGGGTGGGCAGACAGTCAATAGAAGGCAGGCAGGCACAGGGAGGCACAGACAATGACCCCAACAGAAACACACCAGAAGAAGAGCCTGGCATAGAACCTCAAACCAACAGTCGAGTTAGAACGTGGTGGAGAATAGTGTTGGCCTGGACACAGGAAGATCCAGGTCCTGATTTGGCTCCTTCAGTGGCAAAACTGGCTACGTATGCCTAGAAATGGCTGCCATGCTCCAGGGCCCAGACTACTCTGCTGTACTCTGGTAGAACATGGAGGAGTTCTCCTCTTCACCTTTCAAACATTTTCCCTACTCAAATAAGAGCATGGGCATTCTCAGAAATATTTTGGTAGGAGTCATTTGTATGACTGGAATATCCTTAGCCAAGCGAGTATGGGATGGATAACTTCAAAATAAGTCTGAGACATCTTTTAGGGTAGGGTTTCCAAACTTAGCACTATTGACATTTGGGGTCCAGAAAATTCTTGATTATGGGGAGCTGCCCTATGCATTATAGGATGTTTAGCAGAATCCCTGGATTTACCCACTGCATGCCCATAGTGCTACCATCCCCAATCATCTGATGAGATCTGATTGGTTGGATCATGGGTTGGGAATACCAATAGAGCACATCATAACTTCTTGCTTTTATTTAATTTTTTTTTTAAGTAGGCTCCTCACCATGTGTAGAGCCCAATGTGGGGCTTAACTTCCTGACTCTGAGATCAAGACCCGATCTGAGATCAAGATACTTAATGGACTGAGCCACACAGGTACCCCAACATCTTCTTGCTTTTAATTTGCATAGTGCATAGTATTTAAACATGGATTCTGGAGTCAGTTTACTTGGATCTAAATCCAACCAAAAATGTCTCCAGACATTGCGAAATGTCTCCTGGAAGGGGGAGGGGTAGAGGTGGAAGGAGTTGGAGGGAATCACCTCCAGTAGAAAATCACTGTTCTAGAGTAAGATGTGTTTAGGCCTATTTTCTCTCTAAAATCAATATAATAGTCTCACCTTTTTACCAGAAACAAATAATAAGAACAGTTCATACTCACCAAGATCCAGGGCAGGGATCCCTGGGTGGCGCAGCGGTTTGGCGCCTGCCTTTGGCCCGGGGCGCAATCCTGGAGACCCGGGATCGAATCCCACATCAGGCTCCCGGTGCATGGAGCCTGCTTCTCCCTCTGCCTATGTCTCTGCATCTCTCTCTCTCTCTGTAACTATCATAAATAAATTAACAAAAATAAAAAAAAAAGATCCAGGGCAGTAGGTACTTTAAGATCTTTACTTAAAGTATTCACTCATTTAACCCTCAATAATCCAATGAGGCAGACACGACTACTATACCCATCTTGCAAACAAGAATGCTGAGAAATACAGGACTTTAGCAACTTGCCCTGTCTATGCAACCAGCAAATGTGGAATGAGGATTTAGATCCAAGTAAACTGACTCCAGAGTCTGTGTTTTATATACTATGCACTATGAAAATTAAAAGCAAGAAGTTTTTGGAGTGCCCATGTGCCTCAGTCCTTTAAGCATCTTGATCTCAGCCCAGGTCATTTTTTTTTTTAAGATTTTATTTATTTACTCATGAGAGAGAGAGAGGCAGAGACATAGGCAGAGGGAGAAGCAGGCTCCATGTAGGGGACCTGATGTGGGACTCGATCCTGGACCCCAGGATCACTCCCTGAGCCAAAGGCAGATGCTTTACCGCTGAGCCACCCAGGCGTCCCATCAGCTCAGGTCTTGATCTTAGTGTCATGAGTTCAAGCCCCGCGTTGGGCTCTGCACTGGATGAGGAGCCTACTAAAAAAAAAAAAAAAAAAAAAAGTTTAAAATTAAATTAAAGCAAGAAGTTGTCACGTGCTCTATTGGCATTCCCAACCCATGATCCAATCAATCAGATCTTACAGAAGCCCATCGGATCAAAACACAGCACTGCCCTGATCTTGAGTCTTGAGTGATAGAGCTCAGGAGCCAAACCTTTGGAGGAAATCAAGCAATTGTCTTAGAGTTGTGGCTACAAATAAAATAAGCTCATGCTCACTGAAAAAAAATAAAAACAAAAATATGGACAGAGTCAACAAGACAAAGGGAAATTTTTGAATCAGAATAAGCCGGAAGGTAAAAGCTGACACAGCAGAAGACTCAATCTACATCATGTGTGATATGGGTTCTTAGATCGCACTCCTTCAAAAGTAGCCTCTGACCTCTTTCATTTCATTTCTTCCAACTGAACAAAGCTGTGGTCCCATAAGATATGAACTATCCCCAGGGAGACCAGAGACCGAGGTTGCTAATTTTAGCAAATAAGAATACAAGATGCCCAGTTAAATCTGAATTTCAGATCAGTGAATACTTTTTTAGTATAAGTATGTCCCATGTAATATTAGGGATATACTTCTACTATAATAAAATGTTATTTATTACTTATTGTTTATTTGTTGCTCTGATACTGGGAGTTCTGTATTTTCTCTCACAACCATTCCCAGAGACAGACTGCTTGGATTCTGTCCACTAAAAAGGACAGAAGTCCCTCAAGAGGCCACCACACTTCCCAGAGCACAGGCTTCTCACTACAAGGAAGTCAGTAAGGTCCCACCTGCCCCCTCCCACCCCCAGATGCCCTCCCAGGACATCCCCTCTCACCACCCCCCCTCCAGTCCATTCTCCTGCCCTTTATACCCACTTGGAGAATTTCCACTGACACAAGGATACTCAGAGGGTTAATCCTTCTGATACCAAGTCACACTTTAACTCATTCCCTCCAGGCCAAGGATTAAATCCTGCCCATGTAGGGGTCAGGGCTACCTAGACCCTGAAAGCTGAGTACCCCACCCCCAAGTGAGGGGAGGCTCAAGGGAAAGGGAGGGACAGAAGACGGAGAGAGAGGGAAGGAGGGGCCGCCAGCCAGGCTCCTGTCCCCCCACAGAGCCAGCTCAGATTCAGCTCTAGGAACAGCTCCGCAGCAGAAGCAACGGCGGCTCCTCTCCTCTTGCCGAGGACAGCAGGCGCACGGAGGCACAGACAGAGGTGCAAGGACTGGAAGTCCTCAGCCCCCAGCTGCTTGGCCGGCCGGGGCCCCATGGCCTTCAACGACCTCCTGCAGCAGGTGGGGGGTGTCGGCCGCTTCCAGCAAATCCAGGTCACTCTGGTGGTCCTCCCCCTGCTCCTGATGGCTTCCCACAACACCCTGCAGAACTTCACGGCCGCCATCCCCACCCACCACTGCCGCCCGCCCGCCAATGCCAACCTCAGCACGGATGGGGAGTTGGAGGCCTGGCTACCCCGGGACAGGCAGGGGCAGCCCGAGTCCTGCCTCCACTACACCATCCCCCAACAGGGACCACCTTTTCCCAACGGCACAGACGCCAACAGCACAGGGGCCACGGAGCCCTGCACCAATGGCTGGATCTACGACAACAGCACCTTTCCTTCCACCATCGTGACTGAGGTGAGGATACCTGGGCCCTCTGCTCCATATGCCATGCGGACTTGCCTTCCCCTCCGAGGCAGACAGACAGATGCACATGCAAGCACACATACGCACACACACACAAATACACAGAGACTGTCTCAGATTCACCAGAGGCCAAGATGGGAAGATGAATAAAGGGGTTCAAGATGGGGACCTCTACAGAAAAGGGGGATGTCAGAGTCAAGAAAAGTCTCCCAGCTACTGGAACTGGGGAAGAACACAGCAAAGGGAAATGTCAGGGGAAGAGGGTGACATAGGCCTCAGAGGGACAGCCCAAAGGAGGGGACGGGAGCCCTGCAGCCCCGGCTTACCTCTGTCTGACCCTTGTCCCCTCTCCCCACAGTGGGACCTCGTGTGTTCTAACAGGGCCTTACGCCAGCTGGCCCAGTCCTTGTACATGGTAGGGGTGCTTCTCGGAGCCATGGTGTTTGGGTACCTGGCAGACAGGTCAGTCCTGGGCAGAGCCACGGGGGCGGGCTGAGTCTGGGCCTCAGCTGGGTTCAGGTCCGCCTTCCCACCTGGGGCTGGTCTGAGGACCTACGGGGCCAGCCTCATGACACCACACAGGTCCTGAAAAGACAACCCCTGCCCCTGCCCCAGAGACTTACCCAGGGCAAGCCCTCCTCTCTATACCCTTCCCTGCACAGTCAGCCCTCAGGACCCCTGCTGCTGTCCTTCCCTCCCTGCCACAGGCTGGGCCGCCGCAAGTTGCTGATCCTGAACTACCTGCAGACAGCCGTGTCAGGAACCTGCGCAGCCTTCGCTCCCAACTTCCCCGTCTACTGTGCCTTCCGGCTCCTCTCTGGCATGTCGCTGGCTGGCATCGCCCTCAACTGCATGACGCTGAGTGAGGGATGCCAGGAGGGCAGGGCGGGTCCCTACCCACTCCTCTCTGACCACCCGACCCCAGCAGCCACATTCCACTTCCTCTCCCAGCCAACCCCTCTTGAGTCCTTCCTGCCCTCTTTTGAGGCAGCCAACATAAACAGCCTTTTTCTCGGACTCATATCATCCTGATCCCTCATTGAGACCCCATCTCAAACTTCATTTTTAGGGCCAGGCAATTCCCATAAATGACTGAAGCCAACTGGGTACAAGGGGCATTAGGGAATAGTGAGGACTGTAGCCAAAGGAGAGTTGCACCCCCATCCAGAGGGGCCGCAGTCACTCAGCTGCCCGAGCCAGAAGGTTCAGGGCTGTCAGATCTTATCCCTTCCTCTCTATTAATGTAAAATATCCCAATTTTTTAATGTTGGAAATTAATGCTAATATTTTTAACATAGGGTAAGCCAGCATCATGTAGACCAAACACATTTATGGCTTGAGCATGGTCTGTCCATGAGCCATCAGTGTGCATCCTCTGATAAATCACCTCCTTCACCCTGGTTCTCAGATAAGGAACCTATGACTTGGAAGAAGGGAAAGGATTTACCCAAGGTCGTCCCTCAAGCCCAGAAGGGAATCTATGGATTGAGGGTTCTCTGGACTACAGGAGTTAACTGGGATGGCCAGGGCTAGGCAGGACACCTAGAGAATTGAGCCCCAAAACCCAGTCTAGTGTCCAAGTCATTGCCCCAGCAGCCAAATCAGGAGCCCACAAGGAACAAAGCTGGGCCTCTTTAGACCACAGCCGAGAAATGTGCCTCCTACTTTGACTCTCCTGTATGGAGGAAAGCCACTGTCTCCTCCGAGCTTCTCTGGCCACTAAATCTGCCCAGGCTGAAGAAGGAAAGCCAGAACTGAGTGGTCAGAGATGCTCTGAAGGGAAAAGGGGCCCTCGCCAGGACAGCGGTTTGGAGGGCAGCAAGAAATAGTGGGGGGAGTGGAGGCAACAATCCCGAGGGATTCCTTTTTTTTTTTTATAGAAGGGGTTTTTTAAAATATTTTATTTATTTATTCATGAGAGACACAGAAAGAGAGAGAGAGAGAGAGAGAGAGAGAGAGGCAGAGACATAGGCAGAAGGAGAAGCAGGCTCCATGCAGGGAGCCCGATGTGGGATTCAATCCTGGGACTCCAGGATCACGCCCCAGGTGGAAGGCAGACGTTAAACCTCTGAGCCACCCAGGCATCCCTCCCTAGGGATTCCAAACCCATCTCCCCATTCCTACTCTCACCGAAAGTCCCTCACTTCCCCCATCATGGCACACATCCTCATTTGATGTATCTTCCACTGAGCCTCAGGACAGATCAAAGTTTGGGTGGAGAGAGGGGTCTTTGACTGGCCCAGGGGTCTCCATCCACCAGGCAGCCCAGTCAGTGGCATCGCTCTGTTCTCACCCTCTTTCCAGATATGGAGTGGATGCCCATCCACACACGGGCTTGTGTGGGCACCCTGACTGGCTATGTGTACAGCCTGGGCCAGTTTCTCCTGGCCGGTGTGGCCTTGGCCGTGCCCCACTGGCGCCACCTACAGCTCCTGGTCTCCGTGCCTTTTTTCGCCTTCTTCATCTACTCCTGGTGTGTGGGGGCCCAGGGTGGGCAGGGGTGCCCAAGGGCTGCCCAGAAGCTGCAAGGGACAAGGCATCCTCCAGCCACACCACACACTCCACCACACCAAATCAGAGAAGATCAAGGCCAGGAGGTCAAACCCAAGCCAGTGCCTCTGTGTGACAGATGGGAAAACTGAGGCTGTGGGAGGAATGATTTGGGCCCCCCTACCCCAGGGATTGGGTTCTTCAGCTTCCCCAGTTCTCTAGCCTACCTGCACTGCTGCCTTTACCCAACATCCAAAAGCTGAGCTTTCGGGTTGGGCAATGGGTCATCACCCATTTGTGGTCCTAGAGAGAGGGATTTGGCCAAACCCCAGGTTCCCAGCCTTAAATGAAATCTCACTGCAGGCCCCTGGGAGCCCATCACCTGCCCCCAGCCCAGGCGACTGGAACTGAAGCCATGTCAACACCTACCCCCACCCCCGCTCCCAGGTTCTTTATTGAGTCGGCCCGCTGGTACTCCTCCTCCGGAAGGCTAGACCTCACCTTGAGGGCCCTGCAGAGAGTGGCCTGGATCAATGGGAAGCAGGAAGAGGGGACCAAGCTGAGTATGGAGGTGAGACCCCCAAGACCTCCCATGACACTCCACAAGGATTCTACCCTCAAACCCTGAACCCAGGTCTCAGAGGCCTTCTCTGAGTAAGGGATTAGTCTGGGAGGAGCTTCTGGAGGAGTCCAGGCCCTGAGCCCTGCCCATCCTGGCAGGTGCTCCGGGCCAGTCTGCAGAAGGAGCTGACCATGGGCAAAGGCCAGGCTTCCGCCTTGGAGTTGCTGCGCTGCCCCGCCCTTCGCCACCTCTTCCTCTGCCTCTCCATGCTGTGGTAGGCCCAGACAGACCCAGTGACAGAGAGATAGACCAGAGACAAACGGCTGGTTGGGAAGAGAGTGAATGCAATGGGTGGAAGAATCCAGATAAAAGGGAGGAAAATCAGCAGTCCTGCCCTGAGGGGCAGTAACCCTCCACCAGGGACAGTCTTGAAGAACCAGATGACCTCTCCTCAGTTCACTTCCAGTCTCCACACTGAGCACCAATCTCCATCTTCATCTCCTTTAACTAACCCTGTTCCCATATGGAAACACCGCATCAGGATAGGTCAGCCCCAGAGTCAGTAGAATTACATCTTGAAGGCTGAGAGACCAGTCTAGCTTGCAAAATATTTGGAGATTTTATTTGCCTTACAGTGCCTGCCAGAAACACAAGCATAGACAATAAGATGCTTAAAACTCATCTCCAAAAGTACACTTTGGCCAAGGCTGGTATCAGCCAAAAACATCCCTTTCCTGTTGCAACATTTCCCATTACCCTTCTGATGTACTACTGCCCTCCTGATCCCATCACCAAAGTAACCTCCTGACAGGAGAAGCATGGTCAACTGTTCCACCAATTGAGTTTTTGGTTCTGATTTGGGATTTACTTCAGGTTGAGGGTCCTATCCAATAACCCAAGCTTCATTACGTGGACTCCTGATGTGTTAAGAAACACGACACCCACCACAGAACCCCGCACAGGTCTGAAAAGCTCTGGCCTTTCCCAACACCTTGAACCTAAAGATGTGGCTTGAAAATCCACCTGCCCTCAGCCCAATATCAATATACAAGATAAACACCAAAACTATATAAATCATACATGACAACTAAGTGAAAAATCCCCTGATAGACCAGGGACACTCGTTAGTAAAAGGCTGAGAAATTTGAGTGTTGGAGGACTACCCCACACTTAGACTAAATGCATATTAAATGTCCAAAGAAATATTAGCCAAGGCAGATTCCAGCTTCTTAAGCAGGGTAACTGGTATAGCTCACCCCTACATTGAGTGAGCACCCCCCCCCCACTGTAAGCCTTCCTAACAAACTCCATCCCCCTCTTCCCTCCCCCACTAGGTTTGCCACTAGTTTTGCTTACTACGGGCTGGTCATGGACCTACAGGGCTTTGGGGTCAGCCTCTACCTAATCCAGGTGATTTTTGGTGCTGTGGACCTGCCTGCCAAGCTTGTAGGCTTCCTTGTCATCAACTCTCTGGGCCGCCGGCCTGCCCAGATGGCCTCACTGCTGCTGGCAGGCATCTGCATCCTGGTGAATGGGGTTGTACCCCAAGGTGAGCACCCACAAGTATCCCTGGTCCTTCATCCTTAGCCCTATCCCCAGATGCTCAGCCCCCACTCCTGAGCTCCCATGGACCCCATCTTTTCTCTCTAGATAAGTCCATTGTCCGCACCTCCCTTGCTGTGCTGGGGAAAGGCTGCCTGGCAGCTTCTTTCAACTGCATCTTCTTATATACTGGGGAGCTGTACCCCACAGTGATCCGGTGAGTGGGAGCCTAGTGGGAGGGGTCTTGGGACAAGACATTCCCCCACGCATAGGTCAGACCCCAGAGCACCATCCAGTGTGCCACAGCCCTGGGCCCCCTCCCAGTACCCATCAGTACAAAGTGTGTATCAGCCGCTCAGTACACACTTCATGGCTAACACAGGTGTGCCTGCCCACTAAGCCCTTACTGGATCCAAGAAAAAGATCTCAAAAGGACCCACCAACTGGGGCAAGGTAGAAAGCCAAGAAGACACACATCTTAGAGGCAATTAATCAAAGTTTCCCCCCACAACTTTGATCTCCAAAGCATAAGTTAGAAGCTGCCACCAAATCTAAATTTCATCTATAAACCAAGCAGTACACCTGAAAATAAAGACCAAACAGGAAAGTAATTTCTTATCACAAGAGCCACATTTAATAATGCTGATGCTCGGGAGCTATAAGGATAAACATAGCACTGCTTTTTGAGTGCCAAAATGGGGGGGAGGGGCATTTTTTGCATTAAGAAACAAGAAATACGGTCTATTTTAAGAATGGGATGCAAAATTTACATGAGATGTCAAAGATAGGCCAGGCTTCCCTAGACTATTCGGAATGAGCAGGGTCATGGTTGCTGTCCTGCACCCTCCCAGGATTTCAAAGGAAAGAGCTACAGTATAAGCACTTACTATGTGCCAGGCACCATCTTAAACTTTCAACAGATATCAACTCATTGAATCATCATGACAAGCCTATAAAGTAGCTAGTAGGACTCTCCCCATTTTACAAATGAGAAAACTGAGCCATAGCAAGGTTAAGTGACTTGCCCAATGACACACAGCCTGTAAGGAAGGAAGCTTGAATCCAAGCAGTATGTCTCTTGAGTCAAGGTTTTTAACCTCTGCTCTCATAGAGAATGTTCTTAACGTATTCTTAACTTGCTGCTTCCAGGTCCTCTCCCCTGGAGATTCTAATCCAATCAGATTGTGTGGGCTGGGGCATCTATAACTCAAAATCCCCCCCAGGGCGATCTGAGTACGATTTGCCTAACTTAACTGTCTAATGTGACAGCTCAGGAATTGAGGCCTGGAGAGGAAAAGGGACTCTTTCTCTTTCTCAGGTCATATAGCAAGTTAAAGGCAGAGGAAATCTAGTCTCCTGATTCTCTGGCCAGAGCCCTTCCCACCTGTGGTGGCTTTGTTTTGTTTTGTTTTGTTTTGTTTTGTTTTGTTTAATCTGCAAAACAAATGCCAAATTGGTTTGCTAATCAAACAGGGAATAGAGGAGGGGCCAGGAGGCCTTGACCTGAGCTGCCCTGACCTCAAACTCAGCCAGCACCTCAGCATTCATGCTAGACCAGTGACTGACACCACCGCACATTGGGCCCCACAGGCAGACGGGCATGGGAATGGGCAGCACCATGGCCCGAGTGGGCAGCATCGTGAGCCCACTGGTGGGCATGACTGCTGAGCTCTACCCCTCCGTGCCTCTCTTCATCTACGGCGCGGTCCCCGTGGCTGCCAGCGCTGTCACTGCCCTCCTGCCAGAGACCCTGGGCCAGCCACTGCCAGACACAGTGCAGGACATGGAAAACAGGTAGGAGCAGGAAAGCAGGTAGGAGCAACCTGGGGTCACAGACCCAGGCCAGGGCTCTTTGTCCACTTCCCCCAGCTGGCTGGGAGTCTCCTAGAGTCCTTCCTGGGGCTCCTGGCTCCAGGGAGCAGTAGATGGGACAGAGAGATGGTAGCTGGGCACAGCGAGGTGGGGACCTCCCTGGAAGCCCCCAGCTCCTAGAGGCTGCAGACCCAGGACACCACTCTCTTGCCCCCAGGAGAAGAGGAAAGCCAAGGCGGCAGGAGCAAGAGCAGCAGAAGCAGATGGTCCCGCTCCAGGCCTCAGCACAAGGAAATGGACTCTAAGCACTGAGAAGGAGCCTTACAGAGCCAGAAATGGAGTGAGGGTCCTACAGGTCCTGAGCCACCCACTCCGGGAAGGGAAAGGGAAAGCCCAAGGGTCCAGGCTGTGGTTCAAGAAAGCCCATCTCAGGGCTCTCCCGCCCTGAGCAGACTCCACCAAGACCAGTTATTAAAAGGTTTGTGTGCAGCATCTCCTTTGTCTCTCTTGCCTCAAATGCAGTAACCACTCCAAATCATCCAGTGGCCCAAAAGTTCACGCAGTCTCTGCCCTCAACCCCCAGGACTTTATAAACCATCCTGGAGAAGATTCTCTTACCTGAGGCCCCTCCCGTGCCTCTACTCCCCATCCTCTCCCCTCCTTCCCTCTCTACCCTATTCAAGTATTTCTGCGGGTTTTAAATATATTATGCCCCTCCCCCTCCCAGACTGGGAACTGACGAGGATGAAATGAAAGCAGCCAATCAGAGACTTTGTTTCTGGCTCCTCCCCCTCCGTGAAGGCCAATGGGAATCTCCCGCAGCAAAGCGGGATTAAAAGGACCACTGAGGCTCGACCTCAGGACAGTGGCCCCTGCTCCTCCAGATTCCAGCAGGGTCCAAGCTCAAAACCCGCGGCCGCCTCCGCCTCCCGCCTCCCGCCTCCCGCTCCGCGGCTGGAGGTTCCGCCCACGCGCTACCCTGAGCCGTCGCACCAACCTCCCTCCACGGATATTCTCTGCCGTTCTGCCTCCTGCAGGCCCTGGGCTATTAAAGATGAGAGAGGCAAACATTCTATGGTCTCATTCATTCGGGGAATATAAAAAATAGTGAAAGGGAATAAAGGGGAAAGGAGAGAAAATGAGTGGGAAATATCAGTGAGGGTGACAGGACATGAGAGACTCCTAACTCTGGGAAACGAACTAGGGGTGGTGGAAGGGGAGGAGGGCGGGGGGTGGGGGTGACTGGGTGGCGGGCACTGAGGGGGGCACTGGACGGGATGAGCACTGGGGGTTATGCTATATGTTGGCAAATCAAACTCCAGTGAAAAAGAAAAGATGAGAGAGGAGGGAAAGGGGAAGGTAGAACCCAACCAAGAGGGCAGCCCGGGGGGCTCAGAGGTTTAGTGCTGCCTTCGGCCCACGGTGTGATCCTGGAGACCTGGAATCAAGTCCCGCTTCGGGCTCCCTGAGGTGAGCCTGCTTCCCCCTCCGCCTGTGTCTCTGCCTCTCTCTCTCTCTCTCTCTCTGTATCTCTCATGAATGAATAAATAAATAAAATCTTAAAAAAAAAAAAAAAAGAACCCCAACCAGAGAGCACCAGCACCCAGGGCTACTTCGGTGCCAGGCACAGTCCTAGGCACTTTGCATACATTGACTCCTTTATCTTCCCAGTAACTTTCTAGAGCTAACTACTATTGTTATCCTCATCCTACAGCTGAGAAAACCAAGGCATAGAGTGGTTAAGTCACTTGCCCAAATTCACACAGCTAGGAAATTGTGGAGTCAGGATTAGAATGCAGACAATCCAGCTCTGGAATGCACGTACCTCACACACACACACACTGCTCAGGGATGTGAGGCACTGAGACTTTGGCCTCTTGCACCCCCAGGTCCTGACTTCTTCTCCTGGCCTGAAAAGAGAGAAGGCTAAAGGGGAGGAGAAAAAGAAATGTGGTAGGAACCATGCGAAAGGAGGGATGGAAGGCAGTTTAGGGGTCACGGTCAGGAAGAGATACGGATATGCAATCAATCACTGCATCAGCAAGGGAGCTCATTTCCAGGAAGCCTAGAGGATATGGAAAAGACGGTTCTATTAGCATCCACAGGTGGCAGGAGTCAGGGTACCAGCCATGCCCTGCTGTAAATGTGTTTGCTCAGTCATGCTTGTCTCCTGGCACATTGCCCATTACTCGTTTCCCTGTAGCTAACTCAGCCCCACAGACCCTCAGTCCTTGGGGAAAGTCCACACCTCTGAAGCTGTACACATTGTCTTCCAGGTGGGACCCTGGGGCTCTAGCTAGTCAGGGGAACCTGGAGAAGGTAGGTAGCCCAGAGCTCCCCTGAAAAAGCCACAAAGCCCTGGGACAGCTCACAGTAGCTCAAAAAGCAGGATTTCCTGGACGAGATGAAATTATGGTAACGCACCCTACCTCCCAGAACGTCTGGGGACTCAGTGTTCCTCCATATGCTGATACTCCCCATGCCCCCAAGAATTTCTGGGCCATTATAGGATACAGTAGATGCTCAAGGGCCACTAGCCCTCTCCCTGCTGCCATTTCTCAGGTGGCACTGACCTCATGCCTGAAAAGGAGCACCTAAGACACTGTCTTCACCAGCCTTGAGCAGGGAGACAGGACCAGTAATGGGAGGCAGGCCACTTGCATCTAGCCCTGCTTTCTGTAGATCTGGAGGTCTTGGGACCAGTGACTTGCCCTATCCCTGCCTCAAAACCCTACCAGAAACTCTAACATACTCTGACTCCTGTGGCTTTCCCATCTCTGTGCTTAGATCACCTGGTATCTTCATCTGCCTCAACCAGAGACAGCCCCTGGCCTGCCCCAGCTGCACACAATCCCTACTGACACAACTGCTGGTGTTGACTCAGCTCCCACCATCTGCACAGAACCCATTTCCCCAGCCCCTGACCAGGGACTTCCTACACTCACCCCATACCTTTGACCAAAGGGATCCCTACCTCCTTCCCATTTTTAAGTTACCAGCAAGTGATCTCCCCAAGAAGTCATCTACAGAATATTGGCTCACATTCTATCCTCTCACATCAGCCCTGAACCTGAGTTTTGACACTGTAATACCTCACCTCCAGGGGTCTTAGATGTTCTACCCAGTTTTGACCATAAAGTCCTAACCTCAGCCAGGACTTGTAGGGCCTTTGAGGCCACCCTCAGTGTCTCTACCTGCAGCTCTAAGCAAATCCTGGCCAGGATGGCAGACTCATCAGGAGCCACCTTCCTTCCTGGGCTCCACCCTTTTACCTCAGGACCCATCTCTACAACTCGGGCTTTAGTCCACAACAAGCCCCTTCACTAGGCTCGTCTCTCTTTTCCCAAGAGTTTTTTTTCATGGCCCTTAAGGAATAGATGTCCAATCAATTAAGCTTTCGTATCAGGTGGAGGCTGAATAATAGACCTCCAAAGATGTCCACATTCTAATACATGGAACCCATGAATATGTCACCTTATGTGGTAAAGGGGATTTTGCAAATGTGATTAAGCTAAGAATCTTGAGATGGGAAAGATTATCCTGGATAATCTGGGTTGGCCTTCTGTGAGTATAGGAGACCAGAGTAGGTAACAGAAACCAGATTTTGGAGTGGTACAAGAAGGGACAACAAGCCAAGAAATGCAAGCTGAAAAAAGCAAGGAAATGGTTTTTCCTCTGAAGCTTCCAGAAGGAACAAAGCTCTACCAACACATTGATCTTAGACTTCTGACCTCTAGAATTATAGGAAAATTGATACGTGCTGCTTTAAACTACTAAGTTTGTGATAATTTGATGCAACAGCAGTTGGAAACTAATGTACATTCCTCGTTCTCAGACTCCTCCAGGGGTGTCAGACTGGCCCCTAGGAGTTTTATTTTCCCATGTTTCATTTTTTGGTGGGGATAGGGTTTTACTGTCTAGATCGCCATAGGCCTCACCATTCCCTACTGTCTTATACCTGATCGGACCCATACATTTATGTTACCTTATAGTCCTTGTAGCCATTAAGTTTGGAACTCCTAGACTATTCCCTGTTAAACCTCTAACTTACCTTCATATGTATTAAAAATTGTGCGATAAGAAATAAAAGAAAACCACCAGATGGACCCCATTGTTCCTCCTGTTTCAAGAAATCATCTAATGATGTTCTCTGAGATGTGACTGTCTCCATGTGGCTCATATTGTAGTCACAGAACAGTAGCTGATTCGACTGCAAAAAGCTGCAGTCATAAGCTAGATGAAATTGAGGCTCAGTTTCCCTGACCAGCTCTAGTGAGGTCTGTTCCTGCTTCTTCTAAACTCTTCCCCTAGAGAAGCCTACACCCAGGAGTAAGTTTCATGTGAGCCACACCCTCAGAAGGAAACAAACAGCCCATTAGTGCTTGAATTGGTCAGGGTTTAGATTTAGGTGATAAACAATGTTGAGCCTGGATGGGATGTCTGGAACTGTCGCAGCCATCTTGTGACCCAACAGGGAAACCAGAGCAAGGATTAAGGTAACAACTGAGAGTGACATAGTGAAAAGATGGAACTATCCTGAGGTTTGATGACATCATTGAGCCACCAATTTAACCAGTCCTGAAGTCACCTACCTCTACTCTGATTGTTAAGTGCGGGAATTTCAACTCAAATCCTCCTTCCTCTTTAAGCCATTTTGAGTTTATTTTTCTGTGATCTGTAGTTAAAGACATCTTAACTAATATATTTTTTACAGTTTTATTTAAATTTAATAGACAATTAGCTGCTCATACTTACAGTGTACAATTTGATGACTTTTAACAGATGCATGTACCCATGAAACTATCAACACAATCAATATAATGAACATATCCATCACCACCAAAAGTTTCCTCATGCCCCTTCTTTGTGAGAACACAGGTTTCCATTTTTCTTGAACAAATGCCAAGGGATGGAATGCTTAGGTAGTATATAAAGTATTTGCTTAACTTTTTAAGAACAGTCAATTTTCCAGTGGTTGTAATATTTCATATTCCCACCAACAGTATATATGAGAGTTCCAATTGCTCTACATCTTTGTCAACACTTAGTATGACCCTTACTTTAAATTTTAGACAATGTAGTGAATGTGTAGTAGTACATTATCATAGTTTTAATTTGCACTTCCCAGGATGCCTCGGTGGCTCAGCGCTTGGGCATCTGCCTTTGGCTCAAGGCATGATCCTGGAGTCCTGGGATCAAGTCCTACATTAGGCTCCCTGCATGGAGCCTGCTTCTCCTTCTGTCTATGTCTCTGCCTCTCTCTCTCTCTGTGTGTGTGTGTGTGTGTGTGTGTGTGTCATAAATAAATTAATAAAATCTTTTTTAAAAATTTGCACTTCCCTAATGACTAATGATATTAAGCAACTTTTCATGTGCTTATTTCCATTTAAATCTCTTCTTTGGTAAAGTAATTCAAAAATTTTGCACATTTTTAATTTAATTGTTTGGTTTCTTATGAGTGAGTTGAAAGGGGTTTTTTTGTTTTTTGTCTTTTATTTATTCATGAGAGACACAGAGAGAGAGGCAGAGACACAAGCAGAGGGAGAACAGGCTCCACGCAGGGAGCCCGATGTGGGACCCGATCCCGGGACTCCAAGATCACGCCCTGGGCCGAAGGCAGGTGCCAAACTGCTGAGCCACCCAGGCATCCCCAGACTATGTGACCTTAACCCAAGTTTGTCTAAAGGTGGGAAAGCACTGGAACCATGAAGACCTTTGCTCAAAATGTGGATGAGAGAACCATGATCAGAGTTGCAGACTTTCTGGTATAGGAGATTATGGAAGCCCTCCCAAGAAGCTGCCTTCTGCTCCTCTGCCCTCACCAGAGAGAGACACTACACTGGGAGTCTAATATTCTGCTTTGGTTTCCCAGGGGGATTGGACAATTCACACTTCCCTGGGGAAGTGATATAGAGGAAGAAAGAAAGGAGCTGTGTAGGTGATAGGGGGCAAAGGGAGTATTCCTGAGCAGGGACTTTGGGGGCTCAGAGTCCTAGAGACAAAAACAACTGTTCTGACTTCATCTAGAAAAAGCTTTCAGCAGCTGAGACCAAGAGAT